CAAGCATTTGGATTTTAGGCGCCTCTTGTTGAGGTATGGTGCAGTCATGAGGAGGAGTACTTTTTTCGCCCCTACTTATCTCTGTTTCTGAAAGAAAAGTCAGCTAGCATGAAGCTGGGGAGAAATGGCATTTTTTTTCACTGAGGACAGTGTAGTGGCTGAGAGCTCTTCTCTGACAGGTGGAAGCTAAAGCTTCAAGTCTTTAACTCCTTGACAAGGACTTCAGCCTCGGTCCTTTTTTAGCCAATCTGAAGCATGACTCTTGCTCTTTGCTTTGCAGTCTTCTCCTTCTCCTAATTTTCCAGTGGGAGAGAAGGAGAGTGCATAACACTAAGTTCATGTAAATACTTTATAGGTGCATGCAACATCTAGAGTTTTAACTGGTGTTCAGACTGACTCAGATCAGTCACTCGTATCCAACAAGGTGATCTAATCATGTGTATTTTTTGACTGTCCAGCTCTCTCATCTGCTGTACCTCTGCTGGAGCCACTCCCTGTCACAAAAAATACAGCAAATGAAAGTAATGAGAAACTGGTGCATCTTTCTTTATTGTTGATAATTTTTAACTACTTTTACAAAAAAAAAAAAAACACCTTTCTTTTTTTTCGTAAACTTAGGTATTTTAAACTCACTGTTTAATTGGTAACGGTGAAGTTCAGTGAAAGGCAGACTTCTGTACGCATTTACATCAAATCACCAAGAGGCAAAATAAAGCTGTGCCTTGGCTGTGGCTCAGTACAGCTGCCTTCCTGCTCTGCCTTGTGCCATTCCACTGAAGAAGGTTTTACCACAGGAGATGATAGAGTTCGTTCCACTTTTTTCTAGGCTCTCAATGCCTTTGTAAACCAGACATCATCTCCTTGATTTTTCCACCCAATCTTAAAACCAGTAAATGCCCTACAAAGCGCTCAGCAGGCATCTAGCATAAGTAGTGCTAATACAAGTGGGAAAAATGTAGTCTTGTGTTTAAGTGCATAAAGACTTTCATGGGTCTGGTGCTCCTTTGCAATATTTTATTTTTAATTAATATATTATTAAACAGTTAAAAGATGCAAGCAAGCAATTTCTATAAAGAGTAGATAACGATTATACGAACAATTTTTTGTTTCCTTTGTGTTTGGCAGCAGATAGCAAGCTCCATATTTGTGGGGGTTTTCCAGCAAAATGTTCGTCTGAGAGCAGTGATCTGGAGTGCATTTCGGATCAGGTTTTAGCAGGCACGCATTCATCTTCAGTGGTTAAGCAATCATAACGCCAGACCAGCAAGGCCCAGTTTATATGCATGCCACGTGCCTTTTCACACACGTCTTTTCATGGTGAGACGCAGAGAGGTGGCTTTCTCCTCCCAGTGCCTGCTTTGGTTTCCATGCACTCCACTCAAACAGCCATTCAACAGCATGTGGCATGAGGCCAGGCAAGACTGGGGACAAGGAACAAACATATAACCTCTGGAGAACAAACACACGACATTTCAGTGGTCCATTCCCTGAGACTCTAGGTACACCCTAAAGGAAACAAGGACCAAGGAGCAGACCTGAGCGCAGGTCGTTAATCAGCCATACATCACTGCAACTGTGCTCTATAGTTTTGTGGGTTTGGGGCTGTGCAAATTAGCATGCTCTGAACCACAGTGTGCTTTGGGGGACAGCATGTGCCAGCCACCACTTCCCAACAAGCTGCATGGGTAAGACTGTGCCAGATGTGGGTCCCTCCACCCTGCAGAGTCCTCCAGCAGCCTTCGCCCTCACAAATGCCCTCCAGGTCCTCCTGCCACACCGTCAGGCCAGCAACACACTCCCTCAATGTCATGCTACAAAAGCAAAAAACAAACAAATAAACAAACAAACCACTCTGATGGGCAATGATACAGCCCTCACATAATTTCAGGCTCTGAAATGCAAAAACATATTTTAAAAAAACTACTATCATTTAATGCTACAGGGATACCATATAGGGCCTCAAGGAGATCAAGGGGCACACGTTTGTCTGTGCCTCTGGTCTGCAAGATTAAACAGCAGTCCCTGGCCATACTTTAAGTGTTGGCACAACCTTGGGTGACCCTTGGGTGATGGTAAAGGGAGAGTCATATCACCTTCCCATCTCCTTTCCTACCCACAGCCACCTCCCTCACTCTACAAGAGACTGTGGGTTACCTGAAAACCCTGTGGGTTTTTTGGCTTTTTCACATTTTAGTGGGAATTTCTGTTTGCATTAGCAGTGCTATGAATGCATCAAACATTCCCTGGTTATCAGTCTGTGAAGCTTTTAGAGAGACCCGAATTTCTCAGCATGGCTGAGCTGCCTCGCTGCTGGGCACGTACTGCCAAGGTTCACGAGGGTTTCGGATCACTCACAGTAGCCCATGAACAAAACAGAGATATCTCTCTGCAGCAGCAGAGCGTAAAAATTAGGTCGATGAGGTGAAACAGTGTTCCTGTTTACAATATGGATGACACATAAACAAAAGGCAATTACATAACATCATTGGTGGTCTTGTTCCTGACAAATCTGCTGTATCTTGGGCAGGGGGCTGCCCTGAATCTCTCTTCCTGAAGACCAAGTCCTTCAGCTTCAGTTAGATATTGGTTTAGCGTTTAAAGAAATCCCAGTCTGTTGTGGAGAACACCAGTGTCCCTGACTGAACTGAGTCCTTTAACCACTGCAGTAGGAAAGCCACTACGGGCTGCTATTACTGGGAGTCCCCACAAGCCGTTCAGCCCCTAGTCCTCTCCTCCAGCTCAGCCCTTCGCACCTCCTGTACAACAGCATAATGCTGGAAGACGCAAGCAATAACTTGACACCTCAAGCACACCAACACAGTGAGGGCATGGAGACAGGCAGCATGGTGGCATCATTCCTTGTCCATCCTTTCCACTCCTGCTGCCTCATCGAGGCGAGCAGGGGCTCAAACATCAACTGGCTATGGGGCCAAGCGCTGGAGCACAGACGAATCAGGGTGCACCAGGCCATGGGACATGGGAGCACACAGCCTCTTCACAGTGAAGCTTGAATCAGGTTCTGTTCTGTGCAAGTGGGTGTAAGAAGGGGTTTCTTTATACGACCAGCCAGAGGAACATGAAAACAGTGCACGTGTGCAAACAGCTGTATGTGCTTATACCTGCACCGCATGGTGCGTGTGTGTATATATCTGACATACTATGCCAGGATATGCTGCTTTCCTATGTGAAGGTAACAGATCCTGCTGGTAGGACTCTCTCTTCTGAGATAGCCCCCTGCTGCCATCTCACCTTTCAAACCAAATGGCTCTTTATTTTTTTCTTGCAGCTGATATCTGATGAATTCTTATCTTCTCATGGTCTGAATTCAGTTGTACAGTCGCATTCCAGCTGTCAAGGCTCCTCGGGTTTTGCATGGTATTCCTCAGCTCAGTAAATAAGTGTTGTACGAGGAGTATTGCTGAGGCTTAACGCATTGCCACTGCTTGCAGCAGAAGCAGCATTTAGTAGATGCAGGGTTCAGGCAATGAAGCCTTTTGCAAACGTTCTCCCTTTAAGCTTGAATACTGTGTGTGTGTATCAAGAAGGCAGACCCTGTTTCTCTCTCTTTGTCTAATTTTGGATTTCAAGTAAAACTAATTCTACATATCAAGTAAATTTCCAACACAGAAGAAATATGTAAGATTTTCCTTGGAGGTCCCAATGAATATGCTGTGTTTGGATTAAATAAACCAGAAGCAGATCCAAATCCTTCAGTGCTAGGAAGTCTGGAAACTTCTTTGACTTCTGTGGAGCTCTGTTTCGTATTGCTCAGCATCCTTTTCTACCATCTTTTTAATGTAGTGGAGGACTATAAAGATGTTCCAAGCTCCTAGTTGAAGGCAAAGTCTCTCACTGCACTCCAAAGCAAATGAAAACCAGACATAGTTTTTCCAAATATTTTCCTCCAGCAAGGAGGTGCGATAAAGAATTTCCTTTTTTTTATTTGTGGTCTATTTTAGTATAGCACCTATTAAAAATACCTTGCCTATGATGTTAGGGATAGAAGACTGTAAAGGAAAAAAATCTGGGTGTGAAAATATAATGGCTATGCACTCTGTTGGTGAGTTACACCATGCTACATTCAGTCTGCATACATAAGGAGCACCAGCTTATGTCTCAGTCATGATTATTAAATCAAATGTACTTGAGTCTATGGCAACTATTTCTCTCGAGTTTCTGGTATCAAAAGCTTGTTTCAGACTGTCAACATTTTAATGAATAAAAGCACTACATGTATAAATCAATATAATCGCTCAGGCCTTATGAAGAATTTTTCCTCCAGCCAACACTCAAAAGAACCATACTCACTCATTGCAGCTAATGTCGTCTCTCCTTGAAATGTAACTGCCCTCTTCGTGGCAGTCTGGAGCAGCATTTCTGTGCCAAACACTTGCAGGGGAATGGAAAAAAGGAGTAATTTCTAAATCGGCAAGGGGAATCGGCCAGACAGAATGCAACTGTCCATGTTGCAGTTTGGCCGTTGTTCACACATATATATGATTCTTTGGCCTGACTTCAAAGCTGAGCCCACAAATTCAGTGCAAATTCTAGTTGCTCAGCCTATCTGAAAATCTGGACATTACTGAATGCAAATGGCCAGGACTTGGTTTATAATGAAGCATTGTCAAGACACCGACAATGGGCTCAGGATTGAGGGGACAGGCGCATACGAAGAACTATCACTACCACCGCCACCATATTCTACATCAAGGAGATCCTGGAAGGTCATTGTTAACCAGGACTCTAATTTCTTAACAAGTAAGACCACAGTGTGAGGCTTTCATGGTCTGAAAACTTGGGGGAAGGAGATTAAATAAACCCTTTTGAAAGCTAGGAGCTTGAACAAGGCAAGATGAGAAATGTACAGGTTTCCTCAGTTTCCTGCAAATAATGAACACTGTGATACGTTGTAATGTGACTGTCACATGTTATAATGTGACTGTGATGTGTTGTAATCTGACCGTCGTAGCCTTCAGTGGGGAACACTGCAAAAATTCAGCCTAGGGGTATCCAGTTCCAGAGTGGCTGGGGAGATTCCCAGTCCTGCGTCTTCTCCTCCGTTCTACAGCACTCCAGATTGCCTGGAGGAGCATGTCTTTGTTATTGAGGATGTTGTATTTGCTCAGATTCACGAGTTTGTCAAAATTTTCAGAGGAGTAGATTAGCCTAATGAGGTAATAGGGTGAGCAGTTGTTCTCCAGATTTACTTTGCCTTCTTCCATCTCTGAGAGATCGCGCTTTACTCCTGCAGAGAAAGACAAAAGCCGCCACCTCAGTGAGCTGAAGCCGGAGCACAAAACACATGCTGTTGGAGGGGACTGATCTACTTGGCAGAATGTGCTGTTAAAAATATCCTCCAGGAAAGACTGCACCCCCCACAGCTTGAAAGAGCCATTCCTGGTCAGCTTTCCCAGCCGATCCTCCTTCCCCCCCACCCCCGCTAAAGCTCAGCCCTAGAAACTCCTCAGCAGGGCTGCCAGGAATCGTTACCTTCCCCCTTGTCCTGTCTCTGCAGACAGTCATTCCTGGCCAGCGTGCCCCTGGGTCCACATCCTTTCCCAAAGCCTAAAAGTCTGACTCTCAGACAAGCCACACTCCTGGAACACCTTTCAAAATCCAGGATCAGACCTCAGTTAGCAGTGATGAGAGCGTATCTGCCAGCTAGAGCAAGTGGACAACCTAGTACATGCAAGGAGGCCTCATGATGCTAACCATGCAGGATCGCCTGTTGCAGAATGTGGAGGTGCAGAGGGAACAAAGCACCCCACATCAGCCTCAGCCTTGGGTTAACCCAATCTCTTGGAGTTGCCAACATCCATCCTCCCTGTTAGGTCTATCTCTTTGCTCAAAAGGACACCCTAATTACCTCCACCAGGGACTTCAGCAGCCTCCTATTTATGTTTCTACAAAATGTTTAGAGTTACATTTTTTTCTGTTTTTTACCTATCTCCTTGCAGTCTGAACCAAATATGCCCAAACCACAAATGTATTGTGAGATGACTGTCAGCAGGGCTACAAAGAGGCTTCCAAGATATTCCTTATGATGTCTACCAGAACTGCATGAAAATGACACAGGAATTTTGCTTGAGACATAGCACGATTTATTCTAGCCTAGTGTTTTCTGGGTAGTGTGATCTCAGGGTGCTGGGCACAGGCTGTCACTAGAAGTGGCTGTATTAAAAACATCCAAGTTTTGCTTCATTGAGCCTCCCAATATTCAGAGAGCCATATTATCTGTGCTATCCACATCCAGAAACAGCTGCATCTGCCTCAAGCACACAAAAGCACAGTCTATAGTTGCATTGTAAATGGGCACTTCACAAGCTGATTGTCTTTTCCAGAATTTAAATCGTTAAAAGCAAGAAAAATAAGTACCCACATTCCACAAGGTGTCTCTCAGCCATCTAGAAATGAAAAGCTCTACTGTTAAACTTGAAATCCACACAAGCAGGTTGCCAAGGTCCCTCCTCCCCCAACCACCCACAGCAGTTGCTGGCTGTCAGCTTGACTGATGAATCACCAGCTGCTCAGAGACACACAGGTGAGCCTCACAGCTCATGAATTTGGGCCTGGAGCGCTGAGAAGCTGCAGCAGCTGTTTTGCTCTGCATAATCTCATCCATCTTTCATTCAAAGTGGTGCTCACCTGTTTTACCTGCTAGCCACTGCTCAATGGCGTATCTCACAGCGCACCGCCATCTGGACCATCTCCAGCCTCCACCTCACAAGCCCCGTTCCCTCTACTGGGTATCTCCTCTGTTCATCTATAGAGTTTCTGAACGTGATTTTATGGTGTATCTCTTACCACACATATTTTCTGAGCATTGGTGAACACGATAGCAGAAAAGGAGCTTTACTTAACCTGTTTTGCTGCTGATCATAATGTTCCGCAAATGTTCCCTCAGAGACACCCATTTTGCTGTGGTCCCAGTATCACAATGTAATTTTGGGTAAAGCTGGAAGGAGGGTGAATGCTCTGTCTGCCGAATTGAGCAGTATTGAGGGAGAGCAGAAGTTCCCCATGGCCTGATAACTCAAAAGGAGGCGTGTGAGATACTTCAGGGTTCACTGCTATAAAAGCTTGAACACAGAGGGAGGTCTCAGGTTAAGGAATTCGGACAGCAGAGGCACCAACAAGATACTGCCTGTCTGACTTTTGCAGAGTATCCCACAAGCTGTCGGAAAAACCTAGTCTATACTCAGTCTCTCTTGTTCTAACATGGCCTTTGCTGCTTCATGCCTGCATTCAAGGACAACATCTGAGGGCAAACCTCACTGCCCAGGGCCTGCTGGCTTCACGCAGAACCAACCCAACTGCGTATGTCCCCATAGCAAAGCCATGTCTGCTGATGAATTCCCTGAAGAAAGGGAGGAAGGATACAAGCTGTGTTACCTGGGAAATGTAAGGGTCTTACTGTTTCTTAATCACGTGCACAGGGCTGCCAAACTAATGTGCAAAGCTCTTTAGCAAGCACAGGACAAGGCTCTTCTCTATGAGCTCATACAGACTTTCCCTTGTGTACACCACAGACTAACGGAGTTTTTCTGGCAGCTCTTCCTATTCACTGACTTTTGGTAAAGGAAGTAACCTCCTTCTCCCACAATGCTTGTACCAACACCATATAATGGCTAGGCCAAGGTAGGATGATCGGTATCCTTTATGCTTCTTGACCTCAGGCCTACTAAACTCCGCCTCCTACTATTTATTTTTCTGAACATGTTTACAACAGAATTACTTGACCTAGCTGTTAGCAGCCATGTGCCCTGTGCTCATTCCTTCTGCTCTTACTCTTGGGCCACAAACATAATTCTTATTATTGCTGGTAATTATCTCTATCTAGATGGTGGTTGGCATAAAGGCATGAGAGTATGGGAGAGGAAACCAGTGCCCAGCCTGCTTGCTTACTGCTAGGTCTTAAATTGATAGGAGAAAGGTGAGGGAAGAAGCAGTTGGCAGATGTTCTCAGTCTCTTCTAGATCAAGGAGGAATTCTGGCCTTACCTCTTCCCAAACATTATACTGCTGCAAGTGCTGCCTTCTCCAGTGTGCCTTGCAGTGTGAGTTGTGGTTTAAAACCTTGTTCTGTCCTGTGTCTTACTCAACATCACCAAGCCTGCTGTGGTTTGCTAATCTGTCTCTCGAGCATTGGGTGGAGGCTAATCAGTGGAGACATAGACCTGCCTGCCTCAGCTACCTCTGTCGCGTCACAGTTTACCGGATGAGAGATACAGTTTCACTCTGTATATGAGGAACATAGTCCCAGTTTTGGTGAGAAGGCTAACAGGACTATGTTCACAGCAGAAGAGCTGACACTTCTTTCTTCTCTGCCATGGTGGAAAATCATGCGCTTTGAGCTGAATGCAGTAACCTAAACCTGGCCTGACAGATCAGTGGGCGTGCCCATTCATAGCCCAGTGGAAGAGGCAAATATATGTGTATGAGCATGATGGGTAGGAGACAGGATGGTCTCCCTCACACAAAGGCTGTGCCCTCACTTTTAATTATTGCTACAAAGGACAAATAAGATCCGTGCTGTGGAAAGACAAATGGCCCGAACTCAACTAGAAAGTATAGTTTTGTTGATAGAACTTACCAGGCTCCTTGAATTCCTTAAAGGTGTCATTCACCAGGGGGAAATGGATTACTATGGGTGCTCTGGGGTCCTCTGCATCCGAAAACACATAACATTCCTTTGGGTTCTCCTCGTCTTCTTTACTTAGCTCCACTTTGGGAAATGGGATTTTTTGTATCTTGCAATATTTGTATGTCATCTCTAATTGCTGTGGACACAGAATGTCATTGCCTTAAAGCTGACACTAAGACAAGAATCAAGTTTATTGAGGTATCATAGAAATACTATGGCACCTTAATTCAGGCTCTAGAATCGCTCTGCAATGAATGTGTAGTCCAAAGTAGCCACAATATAACTCTACTTCCTGCCACCACTCACCACAAGTCAGAAGATGCTTCTTATCACCCTATAATGTCTTCTACAGATAAAGCAAATGACCAAAAAACAGACTTAGAATTTGTCATGAGGACAGACCAGGAGAGATAAAGGTCATGTCTCCAGCAACCAGTTCTTATTGCAATTCCCTGAGGATCCTAGGAAGCGTACACTGCAGCCCACTACAGAGAAAAGAGCCTAACAGTTTCTATAGTTTTGGTCTTGAAGGAAGTTTCTTTCCTCCTCCAAGATATGGCGAATGCTCTTGGGTATACGATCAAAACTTAAGACAGTCACTTATGTAAAAGTTTTAATAACAGAAGACGACTTTTACCAGGGCTGCAAGGAGCAGAGCATGTTAATCTTCTCACCTTGAATACATTCCCCAAACCATAATCAAGTGAGATAATGACATCTACATCTCTCTCTGGCTTGAAAAGTGCTGCACCACTGGTGTTGATGAAATAGCCAACATCTATCAGGCAAAGATACTTCTGCAGCGGTGTCAGATTGTTAGGGTAACAGTCCAGAGCAGTGTCTGAAAAACATTTTGAAAACAGTTAGTGGTACATTGGTAGGAAAGGAGGAGTCAGCAATTCTGTCTGTGCTACATGTTAAGGGCAGCCCCTCGGTTGCCCTCAAGACCAGGCTCACCTCCCTCCATACTGCAAGACCACAAACGTGGCCTCAGGAGCACGCCCTCCAAATTGCAGGTCGGAGCACATGTGGCCTGTTACCACCGGCACACTCACAAAGGCAGGCCATGAGGCAGCCAGGCAGAAGACAGGGGAGACACAGACTCCACTGGCCCCATAGCTGCTCTGGGGAGTGATTTTTCACAGAATACAGACTTTAGCCAATTTTTTTTTCCCCTAAGAACTGGGAAAAATGCAAACAACAAAAACAATTTCACAGTGTAGCAACAAATCCAACAAATGCAGTATGTCACTGCACTTCTGCATTGCTCTTTTTCGCTTTTGCATTCTCAAGATTAGACTCCTGGTCTAATCTCCCAGGGTGAAAAATCTGACTTCAGCCTGTTTTCAGTGATCTCTGATATAAATTATCTTAGCCATGCTGCAAAAAAAATACAACATCATGTACACAACATCCCCTACCAACAGCTTAAAATATTGCTTGAATTAATCAAACCTCAAATTAATGCCAAAAGGGAATTATACCAACTGGTCAACTTTAAATTGAGATTTAAAGCCAGTTTCTGACAGCTAGACTATTATTTCTCTGCTAGCAACCCCACCAGCCTGCTCTGTAGACAGCAAGTCCACTATTGTTCCCCTGGTACCATATCAAGTCCCATGGAATAAGAAACATTTTGCCATGGTTTTAAATATCAAAATAGTGGTTTAAGAGTGTTCCTCAAGTTCACAAAATGAGGCAGCAAAGCCCAGAGCAGACCTCTTGAGCCTTAAATCATTTGTGCTTAGGTACTTTAAGAAACTCTTGATCACAGAAATACTGCAGGTAAATTCCAGCATTTCACTGCTTTCAATCTCTTTGCCTCCTTGGCCTCATTCTGTAGTGTTGATTTAAACCATGCAGAATCATTCTAGCTTGTTCCATAGCCTGGAATGTTTGACAGCAGCTTGAAGTAATAACTCACATTTTTTCCATCCCCTCACTGTCAGGTCTTACAAAATTATTTGCTTATTTTAGCATTCATGGCTGCTGGGAATTCACAGATTCTGCTGTAATGAGAGACATTTGCTTGCAGTCCCTCACAGAAGAAACAGAGTGTACTTTTTAGTTTTATTTGGCCTGGTGAGTATTTTAAGTTGAAATTCCATTGCCTCCATTTTCTTACCACAGAGATGGATCTGTGCAGCATTTATTCATGGACGGATATGTGAATTAGAAGAAGGCATTTCCTTGGGAGAATCTCTTCTTCCATCCCACACCCAAAAAAGGACTTTAAAGAAGTTCTGCCTCAGGAATTCCCTTGAAAGCATGAATCCTGCTGTTAATGCATTACACTAATTCTAGGCTATGAGTTCTCAGACTTCTCACCATGGATATTAGGCTTTTCACATGGCTTTTAAAGTCTTGCTTTAACCTAAGCTGCAGGGAAGTCTTGAAAACACAGCTGTATTCTGGAGACACCACCTATCACGAGACTATAATTTCTGCTCACAGAGCTGGCATCTCCTCTTGCTCCCAGAGGTGGATCCATACCTGGTTTTAGCTTGGTCTCATGCAGGCAGCCAAAAGAGTATACAAAATCTGCTAATTTTTCACACTCCAGACTTTCAGTTTCCCTTTTCCCTCTCTAGACTTCATGCTTTCCACTTATTTTACTATCTGCAGAATATCTGCCCTGAAGTAGTCTTTAATGTCCCTATGCTCTCTTCCTCCAAATCCTCCTTGAAATTCACTTCTGCCTGTTTGCCTTCACAAAATTGCTAGTCAGGAAATGTAAGGAAAATGACTTTTTTTTAACATGTACTGACTGATAATTTAATCCTTCATCCACCTTCTTAAGATACTTGCTTGCTCCTTTTCTCACCCACCCTTCTTATGCTACTTGTTTTCTCCTCTCATACTTGTTTTCTTAGAGCAGACTCTTTTAGGACACAGACTTTTTGCTTACTGAACATCTTGAAAGTACTTAGCACACTGTGGGCTCTGCCTTAATCCACGAAAAAGCTCCATCATCTCTTGCCATTGTCAGCAAACCATGTAGCGATGGCAGCCAGGGACAAAAAGCGTTGTAACTTGCATGAAACAGGGGAGAGAAAACACAAGTTGCCAAAGAGAAGGACTCAGAAGAAGTAGAGAACACGTGTTTTCTTGCTGAAGTCAGATTAACATTAATAATATGAGGTCCTCCCACACTGCTGCCTGCTCATGGAGTAAATGAGATTACATTTCCTGGGATTACAGGAAGGTTTGTGATGCACAAAACCTCAGCTCCATCAGTTTGCTATCATTTCATAGACTGTTTCATAGATTTTGAGGTAAAACTATTATGACTGTTTACTTTGCCTGCCTGCAGAGCATAGGCCATAGAAAATTGCTGGTCGATTTATTCATCAAGCCTACGCATTGTGTTTGTTTAATATATACAGTCTAAATCTATGTGGTTTTCACTTTCTATTGTTGGATCTTGGTATTTCTGTTTCTGAACGGTTAAAGAGAGGCCTCTGGATGAATAAATCATCAGGCAGAAATACCACACATACGTCAACCACATGCTCGCAGTCAGTCCTTTCCTTCATCTATCCACATAATAACCTGCTATTTTATGCTTCCAGCGTTCCTTTTGTTTCTTGACCTCAAAAGATTCTACCCTTTCTGAATCTTTCAACTATTGTACCTATGCAGAGTGACAAACTTTCTGCAGAAGAGCATAGTTTAACACAAATTACAGATATCTTCAGGAGGTGAAAGAGTGGCTCATGGACTAGTGCATTTTAACCTGTTACCCTAAAAAAACAGACACCATGAACATAGTTCCATCTCTGCAGATTTCCAAACCCTGAGAAAATATCTCTAAATGTGAGATTTCCAAAGTCTAAAAAAAAATAATCTGAGATGTTACCTGCACACTGCAGCTAACTCTTTGTTGCAGTTACCTTTCCATTCAATAAATTTTTTCTGATGGATATAATCCTTATGAAATTCTAAGCCTCTCAGGAAGTTATGAGATTTTCCCAGTAGTGGACGCTTGGTCATAATGTCCTGAAACATTTCATACAACTTCCCTGACAAACAAGACGGATGCTCGATCATAGTGACATCATCCTCAGGAGAATGTTTTTCTGAAATAGAGAAGGAACTGTGAGAAAAAACATCAGCAATCCATTCTGCCAGGCACCTTTAGTGGCTAGCTGCCCTTGCTGTCTTCCTGTAGGTCTCTCCTCTCCCTGTTTCTTGCAGTCTGCTTGAAAACATATGCATACAACCAACCCCATTTAAATAAAGAGACAGTTGGTTTTATTTACTCTTTCAAATGGCACACTGGCTTTGTACTTTTGTCTACAAGTGAAAGCCACCCTTCTCATTTGCAGCCATGGAAGAAGTCATTTAACAGACCATAAGCAAATTTTAAATGAAAAGCATTTGTAAGTAGCATGAAGTGCACCTCTTGGTTAAAAATAAAATAAAATAAAATAAAATAAAATAAAATAAAATAAAATAAAATAAAATAAAATAAAATAAAATAAAATAAAATAAAATAAAATAAAATACACCACATCACTTAGTGATCATTCTGATGCAGTTGAAAATCATGCTGGAAGATCCACAGTGAGGCAACACAACATGCAGCAATTTAGGGAGAACATGTGAGAGATTATTCACAAACAGTAGCAATAGTGCATCTTTCTTAATCCTGTCCTGAATAGGAAGCATTGTCTGGTCAAAAAGAAATACTGATTTTGAAAATCTTACCTATATCTACCATGTCTTGGGCCCATCGTTCCCAGAATTCATTTGAATTTGAGGACCAGTACAAGCCATCCAATAAATTCCTAGTAAAGATGTTTGTCCAAAGACCTGCAAGTCAAACCACATGGGAAAAACACTGCACCATCAAACAATAACCACTATTACAACTATCCCTGCTACATATTATTGGCCCACGTGAACTGACCCTTTCATGACACAGCTTAAGCAGCAG